AGCTGAGAGGAGATTGTTTGGTTTCTTTTCCTGAGTGGAGAAAAGGAAATCCTTGATTTGAAAGCAGAAAGGGTGAAAACTGCACCTTATTGGAGAAGAAGCTCAAACAGCACTCAGGGTAGGCAGAAACTGTGATTAAATAAAAGTGTGTGGGTATCACTGGGAGGTGGAGGGAGCTGAAGTCCAAAAGAAGGAAAATGTGTCTTGCCTGGGCAAAGAGACAGGATGGCAGCTGGGGAAGGAAAGAGATGGATCACAGGCTGGGGGTCTCCAGTGTGGCTGGAGAAAAACGAACTGGGACAAGAATTGAGATATTGGAGATGGGAGATTCTAACTGGCATTATGTGTGCTTGGTGGAGCAAAGAAATGGGACAGGGATGTTCCTGTGAGACTCTACAAAGTCTCTCCATGGCTACTGGAAGCTCCCGCTTAAATGCCCCCTTTCTTTCATACTCAATATTGAAATCTTTTACCAAGTCTTCTGCCTTGCAGGGAGATAAAGACCGATAACAACAACTTGTCTTTTAGTCTGCAGGGGTAAATTGCATTCTCTTCACGAATTTTGCAGTGTACAATGCAGAGTATGAATGCAAAAGTCTGGGAACCTTCTTCAAAATTAAATCACATGTCTGTTTATTTTTTATTTTGAATAGCAGCATTGACTGCTTCCTTTCCTCTTCACATGAATGCACAAATAGTTGATGCGGGGGAATTCTTGCAAACTGGGAACTCTGCTGAGTTGTGTGTCAATTTTTTGCCTACTTATAGAGATATCAATCTATGTTGTTGCTCCCTGCTGTCAACTAGAGATCTCCAGACTGTGGTTGGAGTAACATTACTGATGGGAGAATCATTTTAAATGGTACTTGTAAGCAAGAAGAAGAAAAATACAAATTATGAGAATTATAAGTGAGGATATTACAAATAAGGGAATTGTAAACAGTAATGGAGGGGAAAAGTAGCAGCTCTACTCAATGTGCTTGCTGCACATTAAATTTTGTACCCCATGGTATCTGAAAATCTTTGCTGAAATCACAGGAAATATTGGTTCAGAATGAGGAAGAGCTGTGTCTCCTGATAAACCTTTCTCAGGAGATGCACAAGCAAAGTCCTTTAGTCTCCTGAACCTTCGTGCTGCTTTCTCAGTCTTGATAAAATCCATTCTGAAAAGGAGAATTTGCTCAATAAGCTGAACACATTTTATTGGCTTTAGCAAAATCAGACCCATCATTTGAAAAGTAACTGAACAATGCTGACCCATTGTCTACATGGCACTGGGGAGCCCAGACACAACTGCTCATGGCTTTTGGGGGGGTTAGTTTGAGTGAAAAATGAGACAGAAGTGTCACATAAACACTGAGACTGCCTTTATTCCAGCTCTGGAAAGGACTTAGCAAGGATTTGCTTTCAAGCAATAGAAAACCAAGCTGAGCATTCCCAGTGAGCCCTAAATCTGAATACAAGGCTATCCCTTAGGAAACCTGACTTTACCCCCTAGAGAGTGTTTGGGACTTGCTTCTAGGCCATGGTCCTTTTTGGAGTGACAATTCTACAGAAATACTTCCTAGTTAGAGTCTTAGTAGGGTTATGCCCATGATGTGAACACTAGATTGACGTTCATGTTCTGCCACTGATTTGATGGTTGACAAATGACCTTTCCATGTTCTGTTTTTCACTCTGCTAAACTGGATAATTGTTCTTGCTCACCTCCCTAAAGCAGTTTTACATTCATAACTGGAAAACAACCAACAGAGCTGTACTGAATTCCAGCTATAGAGAGTAACTTTACAGAAATCTTAATCCTGCAGCAACACAATTGTCACTTCATCTTGAATTTTACGTGATTTGGGGTTAATTTGATTTTCTTTATAGCAATTTAATTGCAATACTGGCATAATAAGATTCATTTTTAAGCACCATATTTGTTTTGGGGCATGCTTACGAATTAGTATCCTGCTTAGGGACAGTGGAAGTATTGTTCTTTTGCCCTGAAAGATGACTCTAAAATGATATTATAAACATGGATGACATCTATTATGAATACTTTGTATGACTCAGCAAAGCAGTGTCAAGGCCTCAGGTGCAATGAGAAATTGCCTTGATCTGAACACCAGATAAAACTTTGCATTGCACAGAGGTTGCAAGACAGAAACAACAGATTCATGGTCTGATGAGAAGTAAACCAGATTCCTTTCTCCCTGGGAACTGCACACGCTGCTCTGGCTGAAGCTGTGGTAACTCAAGTGAAGCAGCATTGCCTGGGATTTGTATTTGCATAAAAGATCTTTGCTCTTTAGAACTAGTGCTATAATTAAAACAGAGCTGAAGGCTCATAAGCTGCACATTTTGAACAGCAGAAGAGAATATCTCATTTTTACACCTGGAAAAATAGAAGCAAAATCATTGCAAAGAGATGAGTCCTGCTGTTTACTGCCTTCATCAAATCATGGAGTGATTCCTCACTTGTGAAAAACACAGCTCCTCAGCAACACCCCCTAACCCACAGAGGCTCAAGCTGTAAATGTAGCTTAGCAGTGAGTTTATTCTAAGTTGTTTTTAATTGTTTGTTGGTTGCCTTTATTTTTTTTTCCCCAAAGCACCGTTAGCAAGCCTACTCCTCTGTCGAGCCATCCCAGCCATCTGCCAATGTGGGCTCAAAAGAACATTCTTCAGGGCATTATCCAATTTGTTGTATCTGATTCATTAAAGTAATTACTCTTGCTATTAAGTCATTGCTTGGAGTTTGGCAGCTGCATAATAATCTGAGACTTAAATTTCTGAAGCAAGCTAAAATTCTTGGTTTTATTTCATCAAATCTCACATTCCCTGAAATGAGCTGGAGGCCTGGCTGCCCAAGTATGAGCAGTCCCTGGTGCAGCACTGAGCAGTTTTGGCAGTTGTGATGGAAGAAAAGCATGTATGGAAAAGATACTTTTTCTGATTTATCTGGTGTGTTAGAGTTACTGGTGTTCCACTGGCACAACACGAGTGATGTGATTTTAGCTGGGATACAACGGCACCAGAATTATTAGGCTTCAGTTATCAACAGCATCCTCAAATGTCCCAGGCCTCTGAGTTGTGCTATGACTTGGTGAAGTGAGGTCCAAGCTCTGGGAAAATGCAGTGAATTAAATTCTCTATGGAATTCCTGTACTGAGGGTGGTCCCTCTCAGCCTAATGCCACAGCAGGTAAGGGGACAGGACAGAGCTGAGGAAGGTTTCTTGCCCTCTGTGTTGTAAAGGGAGGTTAGACATGTCCTGAGTCAGTCAGTGCTGATAGAAGGCCCCTCGTGAGCACAGGGACCCATTCCTGAAATCCATCTTCCTGTAGCACCAACCCCCAAACTGAAGAAAGCAACAGAGGCCAAACAGGATCATTTGACAAGTTCTGAATGGGACCCTCCACCTCCAAGGTCTTTGAACCCAAGGAAGGACCAACACCATCCCTCACAGGGGCTGAGCAGGGACAGGACATCTCTGATCCCTGACACCATCCAAATCGTCCTGTGCCCACCCATCCCTCCTTCTTTGGGTCTCCCTGGGACTGGCACCTGTGTGGCTACAATGGTGTGTGGCAGAGGCTCTTCCCACCTCCATGTCCTGAGATTATCTGCTCTGAGTGTCCCAAACATGCCAGGAGCCAAACTGGAATACAAGATGGCATTAGAACATTTCTGCTGGAAATAACTGAAGCCCAGCTAATTTCAAATGTTCCATTTCACTGAACTTTCTTTGCCATGTTTATGAGCTTTGGACTCTTTAAAAAGGCAGGTAAAGTTCAAAGGGATCCACTTAGAGCTGTCAGTTCTTGTGCTGGGAACTTAATTGGAGAAGTGCAAAGTCCTGGAATGCAAACGCTCATTGCTTTTGTACCTGTCAAAGTAAGTTACAATAAATGTGGCACGTTCTATCACCACTTGATCTCCTCTGTGGGCATTCAAACCCATCACACCCTCCCCTCTAACTGAACTCCTGGCAATTCCTGGGTCAGCAGCAGTACAGGGATGTTGTTTGCAGCTGGACACCCGCTGCCTGTGCCAGATGTTCCCAAGGGGAGATGAAGAGCTCTTGGTGCTGGTCCCTTCCAGGACCTGAAGGGAGCCTGCAAGAAAGACAGAGAAACCACTCTAAGAAGAAACTGACCTACCTAGCAAAAGTTTCCAGTCCCCAAGTGACTGCAAGTAACAAACCTGCTCTCAGGCTCAAAAAACCACGCCAAAAAAAAAAAAAAAAAAAAAAAAAAAAAAAAAAAAGGCAACAAAACCAAAACCAACAAACAAACAAAAAAGCCAAACAATCAATAACAACTTTTTATGCTACAAGACCTTGCAGCTACAAGACCCTCCGGGAGGGAATGGGGGTCTTCTTGCAAGAACCTGTAGTGACAGGACAGGGGAGAATAGATTCAAACTAACAGAGAGCGGGTTTAGATTTATATGAGGAAAAAATTCTTTGCGTTGAGGGTGGTGAGACACTGACACAGAAAAGCCCCTGGATCCCTGGCAATGTCCCAAGCCAGGCGGGACGGGGCTTGGAGGAACCTGGAATAGTGGAAGGTGTCCCTGCCGTGGCAGAGGCGGACGAGATGAGCTTTAAAGGTCCTGTCCCCCTCAAACCATCCCGCGGTTCTGTGATTTCAGGGACAAGCGCCGCGCACCTGCCGTGACGTCACGCGGCTCTGACGGCACAGGTACCGCGCGTGACGTCACGGCGGGGGCGGGGCGGCGCAGGGAGGAGGGCGGCAGGTGGCGCGCACGGCCGGGCCGGCAATGGGGATGAGAATTGGGCTGGGAATGGGGCGGGATGGACGGGGCGGCCCCGCGCTCCGGCTGACAGCACAGCACGGCCCGGCCCTGCCCTCCCGGCGCGGCGCGGCGCGGCGGGACTTGTAGTGCACGGCGGGCGGAGGCGGCCGGGCCGGCCCCGGGGCGGACTACAAGTCCCAGGCGGGGCGGGCGGCGCTGTGTGTGAGCCCAGCCGGCGGAGCGGGGCGGGCGGCGCGGCGGGGCTCGGCTCGCTCGGCGCCGCAGCCGTAACCTCGCGTCTCTCCCTCTCGCAGCGGCCGCGGCGACGATGCAGGCGGAGTCGGGGATCGTGCCGGACTTCGAGGTGGGCGAGGAGTTCCACGAGGAGCCCAAGACGTACTACGAGCTGAAGAGCCAGCCCCTGAAGAGCAGGTGGGGGCGCGGGTCCCCGCCGGGAGCGGGCGCGGAGCATCCCCGCGGCCGGAGCTGCGCGGCCGCCGAGCGCTCCGTGCCATAATAGCGGCGTTGTTGGCGGAGGGCGGGCCGGGCCCGCGTTATGTAAAGGGCATTGTTGGCCGTGCGGGCCCGGCTGTCACCCGGGGCAGCCCCGCTGGCAGCGGGGGCGAGGCCGGGGCCGCGCCTGCCCCGGTGAGCGCCGCGGCCGAGACCCCCCTTCCCTCCCGGAGGGTCTTGTGGCTGCAAGGTCTTTTAGTATCTAAGGTTGTTCTTGATTGTTTGGCTTTTGGTTGGGGCTTTTTTTTTTTTTTTTTTTTTTTTTTTGCGGGGTTTTTTGAGCCTGAGAGCGGGTTTGTTACTTGCAGTTTCTTGAGGACTGGAAACTTTTGCTAGGTAGGTCAGTTTCTTCTTAGAGTGGTTTTTCCCTGAAATAGACTCTGTTTGCTTATCTGGAGCGGCTGCATCGCGTAGATATGCTGTGTAAAGGGAAATAAGGCGGTCTGTGTGTGTTTCCCTCTCTTCTGGGCTATTAGCGACCCGTTCGTCCTACTGCTGGGAAAATAAAGTCAGTGCTCTCCCGCGCCTTGAGCATCCACCTTGTCAGCTATGGCACGTCTCTCCGTCTGTTTTTCATTCAAAGAACCCTCCATTTCACCTCAACACTCTCCTTAGCAGTACTCTGCTGAATATAAGGTCATTGCTGTGTGTGTATTGTGTTTGTTGTTAGCCTGTCTCTATATTCGCGTTTTAGTTTTGAACACTGCTCTTCGTACGTCTGTGTGTAGTGGAAAAATAAATAAGAATGTAAACATTAAAAAGAAAAAAAGTGCTAGAATGAGTCTGGGTTGTACAGCCTGTCAGACAAACTTCAAAGTAAATAAATGACTTTTTGATCATTTTTCTGAATGTTTCAGAAACACTGAAGGTTTGTAGAAAAAGGTGTTAAAAATTCTGTTGCTGTCACAAAGACTGACAGATGCGGGGCCACCTCCTGTGGCCTGTCTTCATGGCAGCCTTGCCTCACACCGAACCCCTGGTACAGCTCAGAAATGGTGCAGGTGTAGTGGTGGTGATGTACAGCCTGACAGGCCATCCAACCAAACTGAACTTGCCAGAACTCCTTTGCTCCCTAAGGTTATGCAGGGAAATTGCTATTACCCAGGTAATTATCTGAGAGCCAGGCTAATGTGCAGAGCAGATGGGGTTCACCAGCACTGATGGGCTCCAGCTGTGATGGAGGCAGCTGAGAGACACACAGGGCTTTGGTTTTAGTGCTCGTGTTGCCAGTGGAGTGCAGCAGTCATGACTACTGTGCTGTGGCCCAGTAGCCCTGTTTGTACCAGCTGTGTGTCCTAACTGGTGTGCAGGAGTTGTCCCTTTGTGGCTGTCCTCCCTGGAGTCAGCAGTTTGTCTGTGCTTTCCTGGTGTGAGCATGGATAGCAGGTCTGCCCTGGAGCTTAGGTGGCAGGTCTGCATTTGACATTGCACAGATGCTGCAACTGCTTAAATTTAATTCCTGTGACTTGATGCTGTGGGACCCAAATGCAGCCTTGCGTTGTTCACTTCTCTCAGGGAGAAGTGAATAAACTGTCTAATGAAGCACTGGAGTATTTTACTGTGTTCTGAATGTTGTCATGTCAGACTTCCCTGGAGTTCATCCTTACCTGATATTCCTGCAGAGACAGCACTGCCCAGCCTTTGGGTTTAAAGGGGTCTGTCATCCTGACATCCTGGTGGTGCCTCAGACCAATATCTGCCCTGATGTTTCCGGGACAGCTTTTTGGAGGAGTGACCAGCTCGTCCCAGTCTGCCTCGTGTCCTTCCACATGTAGCCATGTGTATGAGAAGAGGGAGCCCCCAGGGTGGAATAACAATCCATGGTTTTTCTGGCAGATAGTGAACTGACATGTTAACCTCAGCGTGGAGCCTGCCCAGCTCACGTACAGCTCGTACCTGGAGGCAGAGTCTCAGCTGTCTTCCTGGTACTGTGGGAGATGGAGATGCAAAGGAGTCAGGGGCCCTGCCAGGTCCATATAAACCTGTCCCTGGAGCCAGGCTGATAAAACTTGACGATAACAGGAGGCAGAAGTTGCTCACAAACCTGTTTGTTTCATGATCGTATCTCAGAGGGCTTCTGTAGTCCTTCAGCTTTGCTCAGGCCTGGAACCAGTCTGACTGATGATTATCGAGGCTATCAGCATCACCCTGCTTTCTCTGGTGGATGTAAATCAGGAGTAATTGCATAGCAGTGAGTGGAATAGCAGCAGGTCAGCGTGATGTACTTGTGGGACTGTGGCCATGGGAATTGCTTTCTTACCCTCTCCGCAGCCTGGCTCTGGAAGGGAGCCTGGGGAGCAGGCAAACCAGAGCTTATGTGAGGAGCTGAGTCTAAACAGCAATCTGCTCTTTTCCCTGGTGAGAACTGCTGATTTCCTAGCAACATTCAGGGCTTTCTCTGATCTTTTTAACCATAAGAGTTGAGAAGCATCCTTGGCTTACTCATAGCAGCTGAAATTGTGAGTACAGAGAAGATTTCATCCTGCTCAGAAATAGGTAAGGATGTCAGTGCTCTGAACCAAGAAGAAACAGTTTTGTTGACCAGTTTAACTCAGCCCTGCTGGTACTGTTGTCCTCTGTGAAACTCTCCTGTTTGCTTCCTCCCAGATTGTTTGTTTTCCAATATGTGACATCCAGTTAAAGATTTCTCCTCTCCAGTGTGCCCTCGCAGTTACTCCATCCCTGTTTCATAATTCAAGCCTGCAATCCAAAGCCGCAAGGGGTCCAATAATAAAAGCTTTTTGCAGTAAATACTGTACTAACTTAGGCCAAGCCACAATTGAATGCTAGAGGCCAAGTTAAAATGTAAGCCCAGCAAAAGCTTTAATCATAGGGGGTGGAGAGGATACATGGGGCTGAGATAGATCAGTCAAACCCATGCTTCCCAAACCCTCCCAACTCATGAGATGTTAGATCCTTGGGCAAAGTAATACCTACATTCATGGGATCTCTGGAATTTGCCATGGTCGAATGTCTTTGAAAACTGAGATGATGTTTCAGTTACTTTGGTTTCTCCATAGTCAGTTTTCTCTGTGGGAGGAAAATGGGCTTTCAGGCTACCAGTAAGACAATGAGATTTACTTTTTTCCCCCTCATACTCATATTTTATTCCTCTCCTGCCGTATTCACGAAGTATAAAAATTTTAATCTACAAGTACATACACTTAAATATGTATGTGTTTATGTAATGGACAAGCAAATAAGATTTGTTTCCTGGTACATGCAGTGTACAATGAAGTCGATGGAGTTTTATTACCAAAAGTAAACACAGATCCTGATGTGTCTGCACGCAGTCAGCAGGGCACTGGAGGCTTGAGTTACATGTCTAATGTGGATTCTTTAAATCATTTGGCAATGTTTTGGATGTTAAACTGGTATCTGGAGGTAAAGGCTGTACAGCCTGCTATTGCACTCTGAACCAACCCAGATGTGGCAAATGCAGCAAAATTTTCTGTATTAAATTGATTTTCTCTGTATTTTTTTGTTGTCTGCAATGTGTGGCCGTTTGGATGGTCTGTGCAACATCGCAAGCACCAGCAAATTATTGTCAGCTGTTGTAATTTACTGCCATGCTCTTAATAAAACCTGCAGATAAATTACTGCTATTTGTGCCCTTTTCTGTTGCCTATATTTTCAGACTGGTGAAAAAGCACCTGAATGATGCAGTTACTGAAGTATTTTTAGTGGAAGAAAATATTAGGAAATGCATTTAATTTGCATGGTAGTTTCTTAGCAAGCTTATTTTTGTTTTATGAGCAATAACGTTGAGATGTAGAGTTTGTCATTATTAAAGCAGTAATGTCTTTACAAAATTCTCAGAATTCCTGTTGTCCAAAGACCTTTTCCTTTGTGCAAACCTTCAATATTTTACTTATATCAGCTGGTGCCTCATCTCTCTCCAGTTAGGATCCACTATAAAGCATTCCTTTTTGGTTTTTTCCTCTTATCTAGTGCTCAATGCTGAAGTCTTGATTTAATTAAAGCTTCTCTTTTAATACACAGTGATTGTTGAGGAAATATTAATTTCGCCAAATAGACACACATTTTTGAAATGTGTGCTTACTCTGGAGCCAAAGAGGACTCTTCTAAAGTGCCCTAGTGCCTTAGCCTGCAGATGATCAAATTTAATTTTGTAAATGAACTTTGCAGCGTGATTGAATTTGAACTTGATTACATTAGGCTTAACATTGAGTTTGTGCCTTATTGGAGGTAGTCTTTTCATATTACTGCTATTTATGGATCTTATTCAAGTGTTTTATATTCTGGTTGGGTTCTGCAATGCAGTTTGTTCAAGCTACTGCTTATATCTGTTCCAGTTGTGCAAGAAGTGGAAAATATCCTTTATTTAGAACAGGTCACATGTTCTTGCATCCAGGAACCGTGTCTCACTGTGATTAAAAAAAAATAAAAAATGTATCTTGGAGGAACAGATTTAAAAAGTTCCTGAAATATTTTTCCGTCTGTTACAGAGGAGCATTACATATTTTAAACTAAAAGGTAATAATAGCAGAGCTGGAAGTGCTACGTAGGCCAGCACTGCCTGAAATCAGTGGTAAAAGTCTGAACCGACGTCAGTGGGAGTCGAGCTCAGCCAGAAGTATGGCTCTGAAATCTCTCCGGTAACATTTTTGTGAGTGAGTCAATAATTCCATGTTTATTCTGCACCTCAAATTCGCTGCACTGGGAAGGAAACCCTCACCACATCTTTTTGTACTTTTTTTGTTTTTGAAAACAGTCTTAAAAGGAAAGGCTGCTGTTGGAGTGTCTGTGGTATAAACATGTGGACACAATAAGTGGTATTTCCGTGTATTTCTTTACACAGGGAGCCCGTGCTGCTCCCTGCCTGTAGCACAGCATTTTCCATGGTGAGAGATCCTGGGTGACCTTTTCTCTCCTGCAAAACTCTCACTCTGTTATTT